CTGGGCCAGAGGAGCTGTGTCGGGGCCGAGGAAGCGCTTGTAACCGCGCGCTCCGACCCGRCTTTGGTAGCAATAAAGGATCCGAGCCTTTAATGACATGAAACTGGTCCAATGTGTTGGCTGCGTCCCTGCTGGTAGCGCTTGCCCTCCCRGAGCCTCCTGGCAGCTACGGAGAGACACATCTCAGAAGCGTGGTTAATAAAGGAGTCGTATTTATTGCACAGCTTTAAAATATGGTCGGGCTGGGAGGGTGCGGGATGGAGAACATTGTTAAATAAACAACAGCCTGGCTCCAGGTTAGCTTGGTTACATAACAGGGGTGAAAAAACRGTCGTGAAGGACAATATTTAATTGTTTTCCTGCTCTTGTTCCCCCCAGTTATGCTTCATGCAATGTCTTTTTTTTTTCCTGCTATCACATTTTACCTTAAGCCATGATGGTGGAAGAAAAATGTTTAAAAGGCATTTATATTAAATGAAGTAATATCATCATCATTATTATTAAAGATAGAGGATTTCTTTCCCAGATTTTCTGTTGATGGTATTTTTAGTATTTATTTTAAGAAGGTGGAGCCTGTGCGTGACGCCGCTGATTCCTTTGACCTCTGTGCAGTGGGTGGGTTGATAGGGGTTACTGCCACTTGCCTCTTTAGAGGGTTGCAAACTAAATTGATCCTAATGAGCTTTAATAAGTCCTGTTAGTTTTAATTCCAGCTCTGCAGGTCTTCTTACTGATTGTGTCAATCTGACTTCAACTTGTTCTTCCACGTTTTTCTAGCCAGGTGAACGCTTTTCCTTGGAATTAATAGGGATTCTTGCCTTAGATGGGGAAAAAACACGGTCCCCTGCTGGKTTCACCACCCCAACATCTGCCTGGCTTGCACTTGCTCTTGCTGCTGTGGTTAACCTGAACCCTGCGTGAGATTTGAARTGAGAGAAACCCCAAAATACTGACCCTCATGTGAGAAACAGGATCCCACGGGCAACCTATTCCCTTGCTTGAAGTCACTTTTGTGGAACAGTTAGCCCACTTATTAGTGAACTACACCTTAAAAATACTGTTTTTTTTCCAAGCCTGTTGCTATGAAGATCCATGAATCACCAGCACTTTTAATTGTCAGTGCCCCAGTCAGTTCACTGGATTCTTAAAATTCAGACAGAACAAATTATGCATCTTGCTATGTAGCTAAATATCTGCCTAAGTGTTAAAAATACGATAACGGAGTTTTTCCAGTTTGGGAATCTTTTAAATCTCAATATCCACAAATTGAATCAGCCATCATCTCCAGTTTATGACAAGGAAAACGGGAAATATGTTTTGAACTACTCTTTTGAATTACTCTCCAGTATTTTTATTATTATTTTTTAAAGAAAAAATCTTAAAAAAAATGTTGCAATGATCTCAGGGAAAAAAAAACCCTAGATGCCTTTGGTGGAACGAGCCTTATCTGGGGCCGCTTGGGTTTGTGCCAGACTCGCTCTTGCAGCCTGTGTCCGACAGAAGAATGTTCCGTGCCGGCTGTCCGGACCAGAGCAATTGCCCTTGGAGCCTTTGTGTCATTCCACACATTAATGAGGAGCATGGATCGGGAATATTGGATTTTAATAAACCTTTCTCTTTTTTTTTTTTTTTTCTCCTTCCCTAATTAATTAAATCTAGTTTTCTAGGTGCTTACAAAACCTTCTGCTACATAAAGCCACCCTCCTGGCACTGAAAATCCCTGCCCAAGTTGCGGATTTTCTGCTCAAAACAGAAGTGCGGCGGCCTGCAGGCYGTGCCCGTGGGAGGAGCTCAGCCTTCCGCTTGCTGGGTTTGCTTGGTTCCAGGGCTGTGTTTTGCTCCTGCAGCTGTGGAAGGCTCGCCTGCAAATATTATTGCATCCTGCATCGCCAGGGGGTCATCTGTGGCTCCTAAGATAACATGGATTACTTGATTGCAAATTAGCAAAGTGGGCCAAAGCCGTTTGCTCCGGGAGAGACTGTAAAGGATGCAGGTTTGGGTAAGAAAACCCAATTGCTTTGAACTACCCCTCTGAATTGGGGGGTCCAAAGAGGTGGATTTCTTTAAGCTGCAAGTGAAGGAATTGGAGTCTTCCCCCATATGTTCCCCCTGTGCTGCAGTTTGCAGTGTTGTTGCTCTGGAGCAGGTAAGGGAAGGGGAGGGTGTCCCGACTACCAGTGACTGCCTGCGRGGCGGCTCTCCTGGGACTTGGGAAGAGTTTCCTCCCTCAATCTCCCTGAACCAAGAAGACTGCAAAGCAGAATGGCTCRAAAGTGAAAACACACTGAAATGTTTAGTATTTATTTCCTTCCCGTTGCCTTTTCATAAGCTCCCCTCTTTGCCGTTGCTTTTAGGAGGGGGTCCAGTCTGTGAATCTGTACAGCACRGTGCGTTTCTAGAAATCCTTTGTATAGTAACAGCATGTGCCGAGAGGCTGGCAGCCTCCGAGCCTGTCATTCCCATTCGCTCCGCCGCCCTCCCGCTCTGGATCTGGTGACATTACATAGATGGATGTGCTTGCGAGAAAAACAGCAGAAGGAGTTGAAAGCCTGCCAAAAATGTGCAGTATGAGCCCGAGCTGGCTGCTCGCAGGGCTGTTTGCGCGGCGCTCGCATTGTGTGCGTGCGCTCCTCGCTCGCCACGCTCTTCCTTGCTGAACAGACACCCCTGCAGCGAGATCTGCCCGGCCTCAGCACAGCACCGGCTCCCACAGCAGCTCTGCGCTGGGAGATCCCTCATTGCTCCTCTCTAAAATAGCCCCCTGTCATCAATTACACCCTGTTTTTCTTCAGGGCTACTCGGATCTTAGTCCGTGTTCTCCCCGTTTGAGCTGGTTTGTTTTATGAAAGCAACTGGGTGTTTGTTTACGGTTTCAGAAGGGGTAAGCACAGGAAACGGGCGAGCTGGGAAGGGTGAGATCTTCCTTGTTGGCCTTCTGAAGCTGAGCTCTATCTGCTCGGCGGGTCTCCGGTGGCCCAGCTCCAAAGTTGGTCTAGAATTATTACGGAAACTGAAACCTTCTGCTTACAAACATTGCAATTGACTCTCCGTGACTTGTACGTGGGCCTGTAGGCCACAGGGCTCCTGTCTTTTTAATCCAACTGAAAGGTGTTYTGCGTTTGCTAATGAAGCAGAGTCCTCGAGTTCTCCATAGTGCTCTAAGGAGTGGCAATTCCGAGAGTGTTGCTGCAGTTATTCTCTGATGGGAATGTCCCTCAGTCAAATGATCAGCGAAATGATTGTGCACAACTGCTCCAAGTTTCCCCCCCAAATCAAGCTGATAAAAGAAAAAAAAGAGCTCTTATCACCGCGCTTCACAACCAGTATTTGTACATACACGCAGGTGAGTGACAGCAGCTGAAATGACAGAGAAGTCGATGCTTTTAAGATGACACCTACAAAATGAACCGCCCAGCCAGGACCTGCAAGATTGCAAATGTGCAATTGAAGTCAAAGGCAATTGATGACAGGATTATTAGGATCCACAAATGTCTGTTCTTCCTCTTGAAATGCAGCTGCGCCCCATTTTATTAGATGAATTAGTTGCATATAATTGGTAGCAAATTCAAGCGCGTGGAAATGTGCAAGTCTCATAAAACCCTGTCAGGCAGTACTAGTGACCAAGAAGTTTCACACATCTAATATAATTTAAATGGAAGTTTGGACCAGGAGGGACACAAATCCCTTATTTGTAAATAGGAATAATGGTACTGATATRTGAATAATAGAGCCAGTAGAAAAAGGGATATTGTTCTTACGGGAAAGATCAAGGTTAATTAATAATACCCATAATCTTCATAATAAACCTCAGATCGAGGTTTTTTTGCGTGATGAACTGAGCCATAATAAATACAAGAGGAGCCTGTGGGTAGGRGGGCAAGGGAATGCTTTTGAGAATGTAGAAGGGGAAAATAATTCCCCAAATCATGATGCCAAGGAAATTAAAGCATTGACAGACCCTTAATGCACAATTTTAGCCCAATATTGCTTATAGCGACTGCCCGCAGCTGCCTGTGTGGCATCCAGAGCCCAAGCAGGGCCCAAGGTCATAAACATCCCGTGGGATTTACCCCAAAACTAAGTAAGGCAAACACAGCATGAGGGATCTTTAGGCTTTCTTTCCRAGGTAGTCATTCCCCGCTGCTTAATTTTGCTAAATTAACGCTAAATTTTTGCTAAATTAGCGCTRAATAGTATTCTGAGAAATTTCTAAGGTGTTTCTTCTGGTTGCTTCCATCTAGTGGATGTTTTGAAGAATACACCTCGGGCTGTRAGTTTACAGCATCCGCTCCCTCTTTCAAGCTATGTTATTGCAGTGTAAAACAAGCTGATTTCTGGGGGGAAAAAAAGATATTCTGGATATAGTTGCATTGCTTAGCCAGAATGAGGGTTTCTGGAGGTTCTCTGGTATATGCCTATGTTCAGTAATTAGCAATACGTGTGGCTGGGATTGCATAATGTGCTCTGCAAAATGTGTGTGTGAAATTACAATTTGTACCATAATACAGAATACAAAGAATGTGTCTGAAAGGTAACATAACTTTTTTTTTCCCTCGCTTTTCCAGTGTTGTAAACACGGTTGTGGCATTAGTATAATTTTCTAAATTTTCCATGTATCTTTGTTCCTAAACCAGTAAGTTTGGGACTGATTTTAGGAAAAATGCAGGCTTTGCTTAGAGACAACCTGCTAGATTATGAAATACAACACCAAATAYGACATGCAGTCAGTTCACGAAGAGCCGTTTTAAGGCCAGTCCGTTTGTTTCCTTACTTTTCTGGGAAGGCTGTTGGAGAATTTGATTTAAAAGCTTCCTCCGTGTCCACAGACACKTGGCCGGTTACTGTCTGTTTACTGTTTTGTTAATGTTGTACCTCATCTAAAACTCCTCTTTTCCCTACCTTGAGCTTAAGCCCTCTGACTTTTCCTTATAGATAACATCCAAGCAGYAGAAGAAAAAGGAGGAATGCTGAACAACATCTTTTCCCCTTTTCTTTTGCAGCCAGTGGCAGAGCCCATTCCAATCTGCAGCTTCTGCCTTGGTACAAAGGAACAAAATCGAGAGAAGAAACCTGAAGAGCTCATCTCTTGTGCTGACTGCGGCAACAGTGGTAGGTGCCCGCTTTACAGGGAGTAAAGCCAGTACTATCTGAGCCTGTGGTCAAGCCTAGTGAGTGATTTTGACCCATACATATGAGGCATAATATGTATCTGTGATATATAATACACTTAATAGAGCTCAATCTCACRCTTCTAGGTGCACACTGTTAAGTTAAGCTTAACATGCTTAACTTAAGGCTTCGTTTGACCCCTGGGGATTTCCTTAAGAGGGCGATAATGATGACCAGTCTTATCACATCACACCACTTGTAGGTGTTAGCAGCACTGAAATAATTGATTATTATTATTTGTTGGCTTCTTCCGTAGGTCATCCATCCTGTTTGAAGTTTTCTCCCGAGCTAACGGTGCGAGTGAAAGCCTTGCGGTGGCAATGCATCGAGTGCAAAACGTGCAGCTCCTGTCGAGACCAGGGCAAGAACGCGGTGAGTGTAGGAGGCTCTGGCCTGACTGCCAACCTTGGGCATGCCCTGTTAAAATAGGAAGTAAAATCACTGTGGAAACAAGTATTTACGGCTTCTGCTTATGTCCGCGAGTCTTTCCGTGAAATATAATGCTGTATGTGTGCTTAAGAAGCAGTGTGCTCTGAGATGGTGGCAAAGTAATGGAGGCCTTGATGCAGAGCTCRAGGGAGATGAACTTGCTCTTTGTTCCACAGGACAACATGCTATTTTGTGACTCGTGYGACCGTGGCTTTCACATGGAGTGCTGTGACCCACCTCTTACCAGGATGCCAAAAGGTGAGCACTTTGTCGTGAAAAGGGGAATTAAGGATGATGATGGAGGAGCTTGGTGAGTGGAAATTGTACAATAGCGTGTCCTGGAATAYAACCAAACTTGTCTTTTYCTTCAGAGAGGAAGRAGGAGTCTTCCTTAGCTGGAAAAAWTTCCCTGTAGGAGATGGYTGGATRTAGTAGATCCTTAAACAGAATATGAGRCTTATACTGCTGGATCATAGATGTGATTTTTTTGTGTGCAGGTGTATAGATGATAATCAAGGCCTGGGGGGGGGGCTTTTTCTGCCTGTTGTTGTAGGGCCTGTATTCCCTAGGGCCCAAAATTCCCTTTTCATGCTGTGTTGGTCCTCTTGCATCCAGCGGTGATCCAGTGTGTTGTGTCTTTCCAGGTATGTGGATATGTCAGATATGTCGACCACGGAAGAAAGGAAGGAAGCTTTTACACAAGAAGGCAGCACAAATAAAACGGCGATATACTAACCCGATAGGACGTCCCAAAAATAGGTTAAAGAACCAAAATACAACGTAAGTCTCATAGAAAGAGGAATAAATTGTGTCATTTTTGTAGCAGCAGGTGTTTCTGAAGCGTCTTACCTGTTCTTGAGAGAAGATTTCTTTTGCAGTGAAGACCTTTTCATTATTCCTTAATACAGAAGGTAATTTCTGAGGAATGCAGTTAAAAAAAAACCAAGAGCTTTTTCTCGGTGCTTCTTTGTAACTAGATTTTTGACTCGTGGTAATTTACTATTTAGTTTTGRACTGTACTTTTAACCATCAGGTAAGTTTTTGCCTTTTATGTCAAATCTGTTCTGCTGGATGGCTACTTCTTCTGGCATAGCTATTTGTATTTAGCATTTCCCAAGAACTATTACTGATGTCACAGAAGCTAAATAATCTAAAATAAAGCTACTGGGGCTGTAGTTGGACATGTTTAATCTGACCCTGCTGCCAAAAGATGCTTGTCCCTTCCCTTGCATACAGCCCTGTGTTTCTGCACTTGCCTGGCTCTCCGCCTGGGAAAACCTGTGGCTTTTTTGAGGGTGCTGTTAGGGATTGCCTTAGGGTTTGGCTGGGAGAAATGATTTATGTTCATTCTGACCCATAGTATTGCTGGCGTTCTGGTGGAGCACTTGTCGTGTAGCATTTAACAGAGCAGGGAAGGAAACAACCAAGGAGCCACAAGAACCTCTGCTWTGGGCCTCGAGCCAGCTTAAGGAGAGTTTTGAGCCAACACTTGAGTCTAAGGAACGTCATCGGGGATATTCTGCAAAAAGATCTTAGGAGGCTTGATGGCTGCGAAAGTAGAGTGGACTTCCAAAATTTCTAGTGTTAAGTCCAATAAAATCTGCTCGTTATCGTGATTTATCCTAAATGAATCGCACATAATGCTCAGTATGTGGGGAAAGATACCAGCCCCCTGTGCAGCTTAAAAGAACCCCCTTTGGCAAAGCTCCAACTGTATCTTTCCCCTTCTGATCCTTTAGATCAAAAAGCCCCTTCAGCAAAGTCCGAACTGGCCCTGGTCGGGGTCGGAAGCGAAAGATCACCCTGTCCAGCCAGTCCGCATCCTCCGAAGGAGGATACCTGGAGCAGACGGATGTCTTGGACTTCTGCAGAGATGGCAGCACCACCTTGAAGTTTAACAAGAAAACCAAAGGGCTTATAGACGGCCTTACTAAATTCTTCACTCCCTCCCCTGATGGCCGGAAAGCTCGGGGGGAAGTGGTGGACTATTCTCAGCAATATCGGATCAGGAAAAAGGGTACCAGGAAATCTAGCACTTCGGAATGGCCCACAGGTAAGGTTTTCCACCTTGCCAATGTTTAAGTATCCTCTACTCCAAGAAAATGTTCCAATTTTCTTTCAAAAATGTTCGATGAAGTGAGTGGAATTGGTAGAGGCTGGGAAGTTGGAGCTGGAATTAACACTCAAGTGCAGAGATCACTCATGCCTCTGCAGGCTGTTTCTTGAGTGAGAACATATCTGTCCTGGCCTTGGCAGTGGCAGAGTCACAAAATACATCTAAATTTAATTGCTGTTATACTTAAAATCATTTAGAAGTGGTYGATCAGTGAAACGCCTGTCTCTTCTTTACAGACAATCAGGATGGCTGGGATGGAAAACAGGAAAATGAGGAGCGTTTCTTTGGGAGCCAGGATGTCTTAACTGAAAAAGACATGGAGTTGTTCCGAGATATTCAGGAGCAAGCATTGCAGGTACCATCAGCTTATCAGTGTCCTATAATAAGTGCTTAATCTGACAAATAAAAATACCAAGGGGGGAAAAAAAAACGCTCTGGGTGAGTTGGTCAGGCAAGGACTAAAGTGTTTTGGTTTTGCTGGTTGAGAGTAGTGAGGAATTGACCTCGTGAGAAACGAAGGTCGTATAAAAGTACTTTCACATCAAGTACTTGGGTTTTGGAGGGGAAAGGGTTAACCATGGTTTGGTGGAGCTGATGCAGATAGCAAGTTGTAACTCCTAAGAGCTTTTCTGGCTGACTGCTGAAATATCCTGATTATCCTCTGGGTAAGAATCGAAGGAAACATGAATCACTCTGGCTCTGTTTGGAGCCCTTCAGTTGAGTATCACGATAGATTACTATTCCTTTTTGCCTCTAAGTAAAGTTCCTTAAAGCGTATGGCACATATGCTTTATATGGCATATATTTTATATGGCATATATTTTATATATATGGCATATTATTTATATATATTTTTATATGGCATTTTATATATATGGCATATATTTTATATGGCATATATTTTTCTCCCCCTCCAAAAATATATATTTTTTTCCCTTGGACAGAAAGTGGGGGTGACCGGGCCTCCTGATCCCCAAGTCCGCTGCCCTTCTGTCATTGAGTTTGGCAAGTAYGAAATCCAGACGTGGTACTCCTCCCCATACCCACAGGAGTACTCAAGGTAAGACTGAGCACAAGTTTCTTTTATTCTACTTCTAACAGTGTTGTAGGTCCCTGAAAAGGGCAGCAATTTTCAAGCTAGAGTATGTAATTGGAGTTAAATCACCAAATATTGGGACACTTCTGTAYCCTATTGACATATTTAACTACTGTAGCCATGGTCTGGATATAAAATAGTTCTGTAGCTAAAAGCAATGACAATAAAAAAGGTGTTGTGAGCCGTTGCCTATGGATCCATGCGTGTTCGTGGGTATAGGGTTTGGGAGGTTGTCTATAGAGTAAATAAATGCTGTGGCTTAAAGTATGGTAGAGTGTTTTGTTTTGAAAAAGCTTGTTATCACATATTTAATTTTAGTACATCCTAGGTTTGTTTTCTTCAAGTTCTGTATCTGCAGAATGTAGAAACTGTGTACAAAAGCGTGTTATTCTGAGTTTTGATATTTATTTCGTTACTTACAGGCTACCCAAGCTTTATCTTTGTGAATTCTGCCTAAAATACATGAAAAGCAGAACTATTCTGCAGCAGCACATGAAAAAATGTGGCTGGTTTCATCCTCCAGCCAATGAAATTTACAGAAAAAACAATGTTTCAGTCTTTGAGGTAAGTTAAGAAACTAAGCTGCTCACTTCTTGGGTTTTTTTCTCCCTCCTTTAGGACCTAAAGAGGGTCCTTTAACACCCAATAGTGAGACAAGTGTTGCATAGTCCTAAAAATCCCCATTCTTGAAACATAGAGTTGCTAAAAATGAAGAGCTACCAGCAAGTACAGGCTGCTGGTTTCACATATAAGTTGTTTTGTACAAAAGCTGGTTAATTTTAGGAAAAAGAATTGAAATTTCTCCTTTAAACTAAGCCCCAACCCTATGCCGTGCAAGTTGGACACCTTTGAGAAGTTACCTTTGGCTTGGAAGTCATGGTTGATGCTTCAGAGCCACCTGGATATCCAGATAAGGCAAGTCCTCGTATGATAGCAAATGGAATGACGTTTTTCTTCATTTCCGTAAGGTTGATGGCAACGTCAGCACTATTTACTGCCAGAATTTGTGCTTGTTAGCCAAACTCTTCCTGGACCATAAGACCCTCTACTACGATGTGGAGCCATTTCTTTTCTACGTGCTGACACAGAATGATGTCAAGGGCTGTCACCTTGTCGGCTACTTCTCCAAGGCAAGTGTTTGTAATTTGGACATTTTTAAGGTTCAGGACAGCAGATCTGAGAAAATATTTTCCTTTGCTGCAATTACAAATCTGAAACACGTAAAGATTCACTGTTAATATAACCCATGTCCTTTACTGTGATGGGTCTAAGTGGAAGGTAGGTAGTGTCGGTCTCATTTGTTTGACTTTCCTGAACTAGTGGTTTTAATGATGGTAACAGATTTGATACTGTTCTGCCTTTCCTGTTGAAGCCTTTCCTTTTAACTTTGCCTTTCATTTTCACTTTCTGCCATGGAAGTATTTATGCACCCGCACAGAAAAACTTATACTCCTTCTCACTGGCCTTTTGTTTTTCAAATTTGCTTCTTTTTTTTCTTGTTTTTGCAACAGGAGAAACACTGCCAACAGAAGTACAATGTTTCCTGTATAATGATTCTTCCACAATACCAGCGTAAGGGCTATGGCAGATTCCTAATTGACTTCAGTAAGGATCTCTTTCTTTCTTCCTTTTTTTTTTCCTTTGTCCCTTTATATCTTAAATATACAGTTAACTATGGAAAAAGTTATATAATTTTTAATTAAAAGTATCTCAAAACAAAAGATGTAAAAACTCTTAAAATCACGTTAACTTATAACTTGTTCTTTCTGGTGGAAGACTTAAATCCTGAAGACAAATTGCCTTTTTCTCTTGCAATTTTCATGTTTACTGAGCGAGCACCTTATCACAGGAACTATAGAGATGCTGGTGTGGTGTTGTTAGCAGGAGCTTGCCTGCTGCATGTAGTTCTTGCTACAAAAAGTCAAATCTGCACAATCTGAAGCCTTCAGCAGCTAGATTTGAACKGAATGGTTGTCTTAAGCAAACAGTAGTCATGCGTAGGTTTTGGGTTAGCCTTTGAGACTAACAAGAACAGCTTTTTTAGGCTCTGAATGCTTAGACCATTCTGAGATTCATACATGCATTTCAGTGAGTTCCCTGGGAAAGTTACCACTGCTTTCAAATCTTTTATTATTTTCTAAAGCCACAATAACCCCTCACTGTCAGATTTCTTTTAATGACTTAATGACTACAGAATTTAAAAATTAAATATATTCAGAAGATCCTCTGCTGTTTCTGTCCTTCCTTGCTCCGTGTCTTTGGAGCAGGACTAAGGTGCTTTTGTGGCGCTGCAGTTTCAAGGTAGGCAAGTGCTGCCATCGCGTGGCATTGCCCATAACTAAGAGCAGRGAAGTTTAGAGATCTCTTATCATTGAAAAACAGGTAATTGAAGTGTAAAAAAGTCAGCCTGGTCGTGCAGTGCATCCTCCAAAACCATAATATATATTTTTGTAAGTAGCATTCCGCAGATTTCTGGAAGAAATGTTTGTGTAGAAGTGCAATGACAGGAGATAGCTACAGGGGCCAGTTTTGTGAACCCTTTTTGCCTTGTGTTTCTTTAGGCTACCTACTTTCCAAGCGGGAGGGTCAAGCAGGATCACCAGAGAAGCCCCTGTCCGACCTGGGGCGGCTCTCGTACATGGCTTACTGGAAAAGTGTCATATTGGAGTGCCTTTATCATCAACGTGACAAGCAATTAAGCATCAAGAAGCTGAGCAAGCTGACTGGAATCTGCCCTCAAGATATCACTTCCACTCTGCACCACCTGCGGATGCTCGACTTCCGCAGCGATCAGTGAGTACAGCCCGTTGCTCCTGCTGTTTGTCACCTTGCAATGAAGGTTGTCTCTTGCCCACGTGGCTGTCCATTTAACAGATAGAAAGCCTGAAGGCCTGCAGATGAATGTTACCTATCTAAAGATAATGGCTGAGCACCATTAACAAGAAATGGAGAGAATTTTAGTAGCATTTCCGCAGTTTTAGGGTGCCTTATCTGTTAGACTGAAGAAATTGTGGATTGTAGAATCTTAATGAGTTGGTCCAGTCTTTCTGTTCCCTCACACAGCCCTGCTTGAGAGTAAGCAGATATGTCATATTTTCATTATTAATTTTAGGAAAAAGAAGTTTAATTTCTCCTTTAAGCTAAGCCCCTTCCCTAAGTTGGAATCCTTTGAGAAGTTACCCATGACGTGGAAGTCACAGTAGATGCTGTCACGTTTTCTATGTTGTCTCTTTCACATGATATGTGTAGCATATAGTCTGCTCTTGATCAATGTGTCTTTACTTATTTAGATTTGTGATCATTCGTCGGGAGAAACTCATTCAGGAACATATGGCGAAGCTTCGAACTAACGTCCGACCTATAGATGTGGATGCAGAGTGTCTGCGTTGGACACCCGTGATAGTTTCCAACTCGGTTGTCTCCGAGGACGAAGAAGAGGAGACAGAGGATGGGGAGAATGAAGAGCAACAACAGGAGAAGGAAAAAGATCCAGAGGCCAGTGTAAGAGTGAATCTCTTTCTTATAAGACACACAATTTACATTTGGTGCTCTTGCGCTTTCACAGATGATGATAACAAGATTTTGAATGGGCAGTTTGGGCCTGTTGTGTAATTGCAAAAAGCTTTGCAGTCATGGTTAGTATATGCCTCTTAGTTTTAGTTTCTCACCTAAAACGATCAGGAAAATCACTGAAGCAATAATTGAAGGAAGGTTCMAGTCAGTCTGTTTTCACTGTTGCTAGGGAGAGTAAAATGCTTCTTTTTTCCTTCATCTTAATTAAGGAAAATGCTTCTTTTCCCCTTAAGTTGCAAAAAAGCAAACAAATCCAAAATGCTACAGACCAAAGAACCTCTGCACTCAAGAAAGCAAATCAAATTATTGAGAGGAGGTCTGAAAGCACCGAATTGTTCCATAAGTGACAAGTATCATAAATAAAAAATAGTCAACTAGGTGCTTTTTTTTTTTCTTCCAGAAGCAGCTTTGATCCTAAATCACTATATGCAGAGCAGAGAAAATTCCTGAAATACAGGCTGCTCTCCTGGAAGGGCTGCACTTCGGCATCCAGTGATAAGACCTGAGTAGACTAGTGTTCCTGAGAGGCAAACTGTGCACGCCTGCTGCATTTAAATTTAATTAACTGTGCATTGTTACCAAAATAGCTTCAAAAATCGCTCATCTCCCTTTTTTTTCATGAAATTGGCACAAATGCTGTTTGGGTGTAGCAAGATGCATTTCCACTCTAGCAGGCCATTGGATGGCCGTTGCTTGAGATCACCTGTCTGGAGGCTGAGATACGTTCTCACTTGCAAGGGGAAAAAATTGCACTTGGCACTATTAAAATCTCATAAGATCAATCAATTTGTCTTCGTTCTTGTAAAAATATCCTGCGTGCTTTTTTTTTTTGCATTTGTTTTATTAGTTCCTTTTTACTCAAAAGCTCCTGCCGAATAGAATTGAGGATAGGCACGTATACTTAAATCGCAAGTGTGAAACCCATTTGTTTTTATTTAAATCAGATGGTAAAACCCGTGTCGTGGGAGAAGAAAGAGCAAGAGCCTTATTCTCCTCCAGAGAATGAAAAAAAGCCGGACATCGTCGCTCCAGCCAATTCCGCCCGGCCAAACAAGCACATCCTTCCTCTGGAGAGTCTTCCTGCCAACAATCAGCCGTCCCGAAGAGGCCGATGGAGCCGCAAGGGCAAAAAACTGCGGGAGCCCTTTGGGGAGAAGGAAGCCAAGGTGCCCGCGGAGGAGAAGGCAGCGGGTGGCGGCGGGCGCTGCAGCGAGTGCGAGGCCAAGCCGGCGGCCTCGCGAGGCCGCTGCAGCGAGTGCGAGGAGACGTCGGCAGCCGCGCAGGGGGGATGCGGCGAGCGCGAGGAGAAGGCTCCGGTTGCCCGCGGCCGCTACGCGGAAGAGGAGGACAAATCCGCGCTTTCCCCGGGGCAGTACGGCAAAGGGGAGAAGGCGGCGGCGCCGCGGCGGCGGTACAGCGAGGGCATGGAGAGGTGGAGAGGGCAGCTCAAGAAGGGCGCCGAGCCGCTCAAGTGCCGGCTCCCCGACGACGGCGAGCGGCTGCCCCGCCGCTACAGCGACAGCAGCCTCCTGAGGTGCTTCAGCGAGAGCAGCGAGGAGGAGGAGGATGAGCCYGTGAGTCCCCGATCCAACTCTCCGCCCGTTCTCACCAAGCCAACGTTAAAACGAAAGGTGTGTGCTTGCTTTTTGTTCCCTTTTCCCTGTTTTTCCTTTGTCTCTAGCTCTGCTGCATTGCATTGTGCTTTAGATCCTTCTGACTGAAGGCAGATTTGCTCTGAGTCTTGGATTGCAGAAGAAACCCCTCTGAGTCACTGTTGAACTCTGCAGTGCTTGGTTTTAGCTTAGCAGCGTTTTGATTTCACCTGCGCTGATGAAAATGTGTTTTCTTCTGCCCCCTTCCCCTTTCAGAAGCCGATTCTTCATCGGAAGAGGCGAGTCCGCAAGCGTAAGCACCACAACAGCAGCGTTGTCACCGAAACCATCTCGGAGACCACAGAAGTGCTCGACGAACCCTTTGAGGACTCGGACTCTGAGCGACCAATGCCCCGACTGGAGCCCACCTTTGAGATTGAGGAGGAGGAAGAGGAGGAAGAGGAGGAGGAGGAGAACGACCTTCTGCCCAGTGGCTACTTTCGGCACTTAACCTCCCAAGACACCCTCAGGCGCAGACCTTCTTCCAAGAGCAAGTCCAAAGATGAGGAGGAGTCTGATGACACTACTGGTATGTTTGGTGGTATGTCCTTGCAAGTTTGGTCAGGGTGCCTCCCTCTCAGAGGCTAAGAGCTAATGATGGAGAAGTTCTTTACCTGGCTTTGTAACTTCCCGCTGAAATAYGGGGTTAGGCATAAACGGCCAGTCCAACTAGCCTAAAATATTCTGAAATCTCCTGAAAAMGCGGTGCTTGTGTTTAACTGTCTCATCGGCAGTGAACTGACAACAGGTCATTTTCAGATTCGGCTTTTCCAGCGAGATTGATGCCTGTGGTTGTGGAAAAGGTTTCGCAACAGAGTCATTTTACAGAAATACAGCGGGAATGAATTAAAGAGCCCTCAGATTCCCCCAGCAAAGGCAAATAATAAATGAGCTCCTTTGGGATAATGTTCTTCATCAGATTGCATGCTCCTCCTCTCAACTTCTCCTATCTCTGTAAAGATATCTGAACCTCCAATTCATAAAATAACCAGCTCAAAACAAATATTTTTATTTAGAGTGCATCGAAGATGCAAAATAAACATCTGTCTTTCAGATATTCCATTAGTAATCTTCCTGATTCTGTTCCTGCTCGATACATCCTGTTCCCAAGAGAACTTCTTGATGGCCTATGTAGTGCAAGGCGAGCAGCCAAATAAAATTAGAGAACTGTATGAGAAAGATGTATGGAGTTCTTATCCCTCTCTAAGTGATTGTTACTGGAACTCATTCATTAATTATGGCTTTCAAATGGCCCTTGGTTAGCAGAAGAAAGTGGTTTTCTTTCTCTAAAGATACTTAGTTCTGAAAATATCGATGTGATTTTAGTCACCTGTACTATTCATTTAGCCCCAGTTAACCTTAAATCCTCCTAATAATACAAAGCTCTGTGAGGTGAGTGCAGCCCCATGTTAATGCAGCATTAAGTTTGCTGCTCGGTGGAAATTTGTCTCCCTCCACAGATTTCGGCTTTGTTAATTCTGTTTGGATCAGTTTCCTCATGAGATATATCTGCTACTTCTGATATATATGGTGCTTCTGCCCTGTTAGTAAGACTTTTTTTCTGGGTCTCAAATCATACAGTGTCTGTGCCCTTTCTAGGCCTTTGACACAGATGCCTTTACACTTGGTTTTTTCTTCAGAATTTTTACTTTTGCTTCAGRAATCTGCTTTTATTTGGGGATTTTCTTCCTGGTTCGACCTGTAAGTTTTACCCCAAATGGGAAATCTGTAAGRATTTTCTTCCCAGGCTTCCCTATATGCAGGCTTTCAGCCAAGTCATCTGCATGAGCCTGTGGGTTACCTCAGCGTCCTTGAAAACAAGGATGAGATTCTGAGTGGTGATAAAATCCATATTCCTTTGCAAGGACAGAGTCRAATGCATATGATAAAAAAACCTTGCATTATCAGCAGGGGAGCTTACCATTAGAAGATCACTGGTTTTTGTTTTGTATTCTTACAAAAACATTTAAATTAATTCTTGACAAGGCAGATAAAAAGCATTGAATCTGTCCCAAGGAGATACTAAAAGCTTTTCCTCTGTAGTAAACTGGAAATGTGAAAGAGGGTATTAAGCTTTAGCGCGTTCTATGAAATTAATGTTTTCTTCTGCCTGCTGAATGATACTCGGGCTTTGGCAGAGACTTTTTCTCTTTAATCCATGTGCCAGGCTTTGGGTTTATGGATGACTTCAAGGGCTTGTTGGCCTCTGAACTTAGTGCTTGTTTTGAATCGGTTTCGACGAGCGTTTCAATGGAAAGCGGTCGCCTTCCTTCTCTCTTCTCCATGACCAGCTGTGGGTGAACTTGCTGCTGAGAATGTCGCTCCACTTCTGACTCCTCAGGATGCTGTTGAACCTCATTCACGYCACAGACTTGAGCAAAGGGCGAGAGCAGCTCAGCTGAGCTTTGATCACTCCTTAGGAAGTGCCTGGTGGCTGCTTGGAGTTCAGATTACTCAGTTTTTCCATAGTTGAACCTTTTGCATAAGTGTGTAACAACAGGTCTGCCAACAGTAATGCTTGAAAATCAGCAACCTTTTGTGTGATGGAAGAGCAGAAACRTGACTATATCCACACTGCGTTTGGGGGGAAAGTTGGGTTTATGTCCGTGCCGTGGGGTGGCCTAGCTACCCATCCAGCCCGCACCCTGCCATGGATCCTGATGGAAACAGCAGGATGCTTCATGGATGACTAAGGGAAAAGGCAAGAGGTGGTTATTAATGCAACTCAACACTACTTTGGGAAGAATAGCTCTTGTCAGAGAATACCATATATTTTGCGAGCTTAAAGGTTGGTTAATAGGGGTTATTGATGTCACCTCCTTAGTATTTTGTGAGGTGTTGGGCTTTTAATCAAACCCATTTAATTAAACTGAAATGTTACCGCATCAAGCTAATACGTGTTAAATTAATCACGTGGCAAACCAGGAATAATTGAGCAGCCTTGTTATTCTTTGGGGCCCAAAGAGATGGGTTGGGGTTGTGTATGGTCTTTAATCAATAAAATAGCATTAAGGTATCAGCTGAGAGGGTGTTTGGGCCTGGATGTAAATSAAGTGCAGGGCACTGACACCTGATGGGTCCTGTCCAGCTGAGAGTGATTTCTTAGCTCAAAACCAAAGAGATTCAGATGATCCTTTAATGTGTAAGTAGGAAATGTCAGGAGTGAAGGCCCATTCTGTCATCTCTCTGTAGCTGCTACTACTGCCCTTACTCAATTATTTACATTTGGTGGAGGTATTGATAGACTGAGATAGTTCTAGGAACAGCTGAGTTAAGGCTTTGGAAAAACCTGAAGTGATAGATTCAAGGAAATCAGCTCAGGAGAAAGGATGACTTGACAAGCTTACAAATTACTTGTACTGGAACCGCTTCTTGGTAGGGAAGATCCTCTGCCTAGCAGATAAAATTGAATCCAAAATCATATTAAGAAAAAAGGCAGGAATTCAGATGGCAAGCTGTAAATATTTACCCTGACATAAAAGCCAGATAAGAAGTGAATTGGGCTACCTTTTAATGTTTGCTCAGATACAGAACATTTTGCTGCCAAATTTAGGCATCTCTATCTCTGATGGCAGCTGAAAGTGCAAGCCAGGACTAAAAGCTGAAATCATTCTGTTCTCCATCAGGTGCGTGAAATACAAACCTAAATGTAAGCATGTATTTATTGCAATTCCATGGGTTCCCCTACCTTGGAACATTGTCATTGGGGAGTGTTCCGGATAAATAACACTTGGATTGTGCCATGAGTCTTCCCAGGGCTTCATCGCGTGGCCTAAGTGTTTAATTTGGGGTGTGTGCTGAAAGCCCAACGCTCTCGCCCTGCAAAATGTGGAAAGCAGTTTAATTCTTGGCAAATGAAACCCGCAACGTGATTGCTCATGAGCAGACCTTGTTACTTCTTGTTAACCCTTTTCAATACTTCTCTAAGCTGTTATTGGGATGTGGAGTTGCTAAATATGATGGGATGCTCGGGAAAGCTTCCSTGAATGCTCAGGTAGAATAAAATATTCGATTAATGTTCTGCTGTTTGTGTTTGCAGGCACCCCGACCTTGCAGCAGTTATCTGTGCTGAGGAAAGGTGAAGAAAATGATTCTTCACTGGAACCAGATACTTCCACACCCATGAAAAAGAAGAAGGGGTGGCCGAAGGGCAAAAGTCGAAAACCAGTGCACTGGAAGAAAAGACCTGGTCGAAAACCGGGTTTCAAAATGAACCGGGAAAAAGTGATGCCGTCTGTGCAGGGGGAGGAAGTTGAGGCAGTGGTCGCTGGCTCAAAACCAGTGCGTAAGCCCAAAATCTCCGATACGGAGAATAGTGTTGAGCAGAAAGAAGAGTCGCCCCTTACTGAGGAAAGGAAAGAAGACGACGTGAATATGGAAGGAGAAGAGGTAGGAGAGGGGGAAGAGGAAGATACAACCGGCAGTGAAGTAAGGGCAGTTTCTCCTGTGGACAGCAGCAGTAGTCCAGCACCAGAGGCTAAAGAGCCCGAAATAGAGGAGGAGGTAGAGGAGAAGCCCCGGGTTTCAGAAGAGCAAAGGCAATYGGAGGAAGAACAGCAAGAACTAGAAGAAGCTGAGCATGACCATGAGGAAGAGGATGAAGTCGCGGTAGTGGCGAATCAAAATGAAGACCATGATGCCGATGATGAAGATGATGGTCATCTGGAGTCTCTGAAGAAGAAGGAACTGGAGGAACAGCCTGTGAGGGAAGGGGTGAAGGAGGAGCCCGAGGTGCAAGAGTGTTTTTTAGAAACAAGCATATCAAGCAGTAGAGAGGAGGCAAAAGGAAAAGATGAAGCAGAGGCAGATTCGGAGGAAGAACAGGCTTCGAATGAGACATCGGTGGGGTCAGAGCATGTCCCTGGGTCTGAGGATGATCACGAGGAAGAGCAAAGTAGTAAGGAAGGGCTGATTGAATTAAAGGAAGAAGAGGAGATCCCTCATAGTGAGCTAGATCTCGAAACTGTCCAAGCGGTGCAGTCCTTGACGCAAGAGGAGAGCAATGAGCACGATGTCGCTTACCAGGACTGCGAGGAAACTCTGGCAGCRTGCCAGACTCTGCAGAGCTACACCCAGACTGAGGAAGACCCTCCGATCTCCATGGTCGAGGATTGCCAGGCCTCGGAGCACAACAGTCCAATATCCTCCGTTCAGTCGCACCCCAGCCAGTCGGTGCGTTCCGTGAGCAGCCCAAACGTGCCCGCTCTGGAGAGCAGCTACACCCAGATCAGTCCTGAGCAGGGATCCCTGTCCGCACCCTCTATGCAGAACATGGAGACCAGCCCCATGATGGATGTGCCTTCCGTATCAGACCACTCTCAGCAGGTGGTGGACAGTGGCTTCAGCGACCTCGGGAGCATCGAGAGCACCACGGAGAACTACGAGAACCCCAGCAGCTACGACTCCACCATGGGAGGCAGCATTTGCGGGAATAACTCTTCCCAGAGCAGCTGCTCCTACGGAGGGTTGTCTTCCTCCAGCAGCCTCACGCAGAGCAGCTGCGTGGTCACGCAGCAGATGGCCAACATGGGCAGCAGCTGCAGCCTGATGCAGCAGAGCAGCGTGCAGCCCGCGGCCAACTGCAGCATCAAGTCCCCGCAGAGCTGCGTGGTGGAAAGGCCGCCCAGCAACCAGCAACCCGCAGCGCAGCCGCCGCCGCAGCCGCCGCCGCCGCAGCAGCCGCAGCCGCCGCCGCCGCCGCAGCAGCAGCAGCAGCCGCCGCTGTCGCAGTGCAGCATGAACAACAGCTTCACGCCGGCGCCCATGATCATGGAAATACCCGAGTCGGGAAGCAGCGGTAACATCAGTATCTACGAGAGGATCCCGGGGGATTTTGGGGCCGGGAGCTACTCGCAGCCGTCGGCCACGTTCAGCCTGGCCAAGCTGCAGCAGCTGACCAACACCATCATGGACCCTCATGCCATGCCTTATAGCCATTCTCCTGCCGTGACTTCCTATGCAACCAGTGTTTCCCTGTCCAACACGGGCCTGGCGCAGCTGGCCCCCTCGCACCCGCTCGCCGGGACCCCCCAAGCACAAGCCACCATGACGCCGCCGCCCAACCTGGCGTCGGGCACCATGAACCTCGCGTCGCCGCTGCTGCAGTGCAACATGTCGGCCGCCAACATCGGCATCCCGCACACGCAGCGCCTGCAGGGCCAGATGCCCGTCAAGGGGCACATCTCCATCCGCTCCAAGTCGGCGCCGCTGCCCTCGGCCGGCGCGCACCAGCAGCAGCTCTACGGGCGCAGCCCGCCCGCCGTGGCCATGCAGGCGGGCCCGCGGGCGCTGGCCGTGCAGCGCGGCATGAACATGGGCGTCAACCTCATGCCCGCCGCCCCTTACAACGTCAACTCCATGAACATGAACACGCTCAACGCCATGAACAGCTACCGCATGACGCAGCCCATGATGAACAGCGGCTACCACAGCAACCCGGCCTACATGAACCAGACGGCGCAGTATCCTATGCAGATGCAGATGGGCATGATGGGGGGCCAGGCCTACAGCCAGCAGCCCATGCAGCCGAACCCCCACGGCAACATGATGTACACGGGGCCCTCCCACCACAGCTACATGAACGCGGCCGGCGTGCCCAAGCAGCCCCTCAACGGGCCCTACATGAGGAGATGAGCGAGAGCCGCCCGCCGCCCAAAAACAAAGCGAAAGACTTAAATATATATAAATAAAGGAACCTTTTATACTGACGAAACAGAGAGAAAAAAAAAAAAAACGGACTTTTTTCCAGTTATAATATTGCTGTAGATTTAGAGGGATTTTTTTTTTTCTTTTTTTTTTTAGGAAGCCTGGTCATTTTTTTGTTTGTTTTGTTTCGTTTTGTTCTGGGTTTTTGTTCTCGTCACAATCCCGAAACATTTTGCAGCGAAAATGATTTTCAACTGTTTTTTAGGGGGGAAAACGTGCACAAAGTCTTTTTCATAATTTAAGAGAGCCTTACTTTGACCACTCGGACATAATTAACACGTGCAGCAGTGAAAGCATCTTTCGAAATTGCATTTTGTTTGGTTTTTGTCTCCCGTGTATGTTGTCCTCCCTCTCCCGTGCCCCTCTGTAGCAGCTCTGAGCGCTGCGGCCGCGTCACGCGTCCCCCGTCCCGCAGGGTGACAGCTCTTCCCTCAAAACCCCCCTTCATTTTCTACTTCCAGCAGGAGGCACTTCCTGGGAGACTCGGAGGGGGACACGGAGGAGAAACGAAGCTCTTTATTTCTACAAGTCAGGAAAACAAAAGCAGATTTTGGTTTTATTATTATTTTTCGTTATTCGCTTTCCCCGACTCCCTCGGTGAAATTCGGAGCTGTAAACAGCAAATTCCCTTCGCGCTGGTGGGTTTGTAGGTGAAATGAACGGAGAGAGCCTGGATGTTTCAGTCGGAAAATGCCATGTGGCTTTTGAAAGGCTCCCGCTGGCCRCTCCGGATGGGCCCGTGGCGGGAGCGTCTCCGGAGGGAGCTGCGGTAGGTCCCTGCAGCGAGCRGGAGCAGCGGGAGCTGCCGGCCAGGCTGAGGAAATCTCCACGGGCTCCTGCTTTTCCCAAGCGGTTCTGACACTCAAATCCCCCGTTTGCTTTTCCTTGGAAAAGCCGCGGGGTTTGGGTGCGAGCCGGGGAGTCAGGCTGAGCCCAGGGCAGCCCTTCCCGGCTTTGGGGATCCCCAAATCCCCTTCTTTTTCCTTTTTTTGGGCTGCGCTGCTCCATGGAAGAGGCGCCCGTGCGGAAAGGGAGGGAAGGGCTTTGGGTTGCCTCGTTGGAGGTGACGTAGAAGCGCCGCCGCCGCGCGGAGACGGATTCCTTTTTGTCCCTTAAACCAAAAGACTCCCCAAAAGTTGGGGTTTCTTCAGACGCACTAAACCAGACTTTCCTCCAGTAACTGCTAACCATAAAAAAAGGCAGAATACAAAGGACTTCCACTTTTTTTTTTTTTTAATTTAATTTTATTTTATTTCTGTCACTTCCAAGCATGTACAAGGCTGTGTAGGACCCCCCTATTCCTCTGTATATACGATCCCGGTTCCAGATGCCCCGCGTAGAGAGCGCTCCGTGCTGCCCGCTCCTTCCCAGCTCTTCAGCTGCGCCGCTCTTCCCGCTTGCTGGAAGGGGGAACAGGTTGGGATCTCAGCCCGATCCAACGGGATCCAACCGGAGGAGAAGCCGCTGAAACGAGGGCCGTGACTTGCGCTTGTTTGCCGTTTGCTTTGGTTTGGTTTTCTATTATTATATATTTTTTTTTCAATCTAATTGGGCAGCTCCCTTTTCCACAAGCCTTTGTGACTGTAGAACTATTGTAGAAAAAAAGTAAAAAAAAAAAAGTTCTTTTCTATATATAAAAAGAAATTATCCAACGCAGTAATATTGGTACCTACCATTTTTTCACTTCTGTTTAAAAAAAAAAAAAAAAATGTATTTTTAGCAAGATAACTTGGGTAATCTTCTAAAAGAAATTAAAAAAAAATCTCACTGTTAGTGACTTTGATGCCTTTTAAAAATAAGAGCTTTTTTCATTTCATTCCATCTTTAAAATTTTTTATCTTTGTTGTAGAATATTAAAAACTATTTTAAGAAAGATGAAAAAAAAAAAAATTCTCTTTAAAGAGAGATCTCTAGAGTGTGTGAATAGGAGCTCCAGATGCCTCTAAAAGCCGCATGTACAAACGAAGCCGAGTCTATTCCTGTCTGTTTATATTTGCTTTTCCTGTTTTGTAACCTCTTTGTACTTGGTTCATGGTGACTTGTAAGCTCCGGGGAAGGGGGTGCCCCGATGCCTTTGGACTTCTCCGTGTGATGCGCTCCCGGCCGCGGGGCCTCCCTTCCTCCCCTTGTATGTAATATCACTTCCCGCCCCCCCTTTCTAGCGAGTACTTTCAAAAGAACTCTGTACATTTTAACATAAAAGAAAAAAAAATAAATTATGTTGAGCCGTTTTGGAGGTCTGGCGTGCAGGAGGGTTTCTGTGCGGGGCTCCGGGCTGGGCGCCCGAGGCGAGCGCGACCCGCGCGCACGGAGAAGGGTTAAAAATGATAAAAAGCCTGGAAAGCCTCCCCAAAATCTGGGCAGGATCAGCCCAAACCTGAAGGTAGCTGTTTTTATCACCGTTTGTTTGTAAAATGGTGAGGTTTTTGACTGGGGCGCTAAAAAAAACCTCTCCAAAAGTCTATTTTAAGCACCCCCGCTCCCCTTTTGTGCCTTCAGGTTGCTTTTTGATCTTGACAATTAGCGCTTTAAATAGGAGAGCTAGAGGTGTTACCCAGCAAAGTTAAGCTGCAGCTTGAGGCAGAACTGGATCAGCCGCGACCCTTCAATAAATAACGTGGTCCTGTTGTGCTGCTCCCCTGGGAGCTCCTGGAGTTGGCTTGCAGGCTGCTTTTTGCCTTATTTTTACAAAATCTTAACTAAAAAGTTAAGATTTCCAAGCACTGGATGGAAGGAATGTTTCAGTTACGGCCTCTTGAGCAGCAAAGCTTCATTTTTAGGGCGCAATCTGGGATTTGGAAACATCAGTTGGGAGGGGAAATGGCTTTGATCTCCAAACTGAACGTGGCGAGTGATTCCATAGCCCGGGATTCCGGTAATCCTGTTGCTTCGGATGCCTGAAAGTGGTCACRGCAGATCGCTCCTGGCAAAATCCTTGTTTTCTAGACTACTTTTATGGGAAGGAATCCTCTGCATGGAATAGCACCCGAGGGCCTTGCTCATCCGGATGAGGCTTTTCCTAATGGTCCCCTGTCACTTGCCATCTGTCACCTGCCATTAGGTTCCACTGCAGAATCTTTCGGGCAGGGACCCTCTTATTTTTGTGTCCMAAAAGGTCACGATCCATTTATTTGGAAGGAAAATAAGTGGTAAATAGGGTGTTTCCCTCTCTCTGTTTCTCCACGTAGCTTTTGCGTTTGCCCATCAGGAACCAGCAGCAAGAAACAGTCCATAAAGCTATTTTTTTCCCCCTAAATGTTCTAAGCGTTTCTTGAGCAACTGCTTCCAACAAGATAGTGCAAACTGTGGGAAAACCAAGAAATGCTGAGTTAAGGGGAAGAGTTTTTGAAGCGTTTCAGTGGGCCCGGTGCTGATGGGTTTATGGTTGGCCTTGCTGATCTCCAAGGTGGTTCCCAGCCGGTTCTGAGCGGGTTTAGCAGCCTCTTTCCCCCTTCCCACCCGTCCTTGCCTCTATCCTGGCTCCATCCTGGAACCGGGATGGCCAAGGAGTGGCCCTTTGCTCAGAGCATCGATGCCAACGGCGGGTCAAGCGCTTCCCGCCCCGGAGCATCGCGTTGGCAGCCCCTGCAGAAGGCACCAGAAATAGCTCTCCCCGCCACGCAGGGCACCAGGAGCTAATTCCAGCCAACGCGGTGGCACAAACGGAGCTGTCAGGATCCAAGACAGATGTTTCGAGCGCTGCCGGTGACTCAGACGCTCCGTTCGCTCGTCAGGGAGCTAAACATAACTTCAAACGCCGGGTCCTGCTAGGGCGCCGGCGCTGGATGCGGAGTCTGCTGCGGAGAAAGTCCTCCCYGGCACCCGGAGGCTGAGTTGGGAGCAAGGCAAAGTGCAGAGCCCGGGCGCCAGAAGGGATGGGAATCGCCTGGCCACACAGCAGGAGGGCGAGGGGGTGGTGGAAAGTCCAAGGACACAAATGCTGAAAATTGGCCTTCTTGGGGGCCATCGTGGTTGTCCTCGCTCATCGCTCTGGACCTCTACCTGCAAGTAGGCACCTAGAGGGAAACAGAGCAATTCTCCGCCTTGGAGCAAGTTTGAACGGGGCTCTCTGGGTTCCTGGAGGACCTCTTGGTTTGGCAAGAGCCTGCCCGCAGGTTGGGACCCCTTTGCCCCAGCGGCTCTGTCCACCTGTGGTGATGGGGCTTGCGCTTTTCTCTGCCAATTGTCTCCTTTATGGTCGCTGCAAGCTCACGTGCGCCTATCTAGGCTCCCCCGAGCCCTACTAAACTCAATAATAACAATATTAATTTCCCTCCTTAGGAGTGTTTGGAATCCTACTCTTCTTGTTGGTTAAATGCCCCAGTTCTACGTTTCTCCGAGCAAAACAGACCCGTGTCGGCGGGTGAACTGGCAGGTGCCAGGGTGGCTGCGATGGAGCTTTGATGGGTCAACACAAGAGCTGGGATTCAGATTCAACCAGTTCTTGCTCCTTTGGTGGGAATGAACTGCTTTGGGTGTCACCAAATGGAGTGTCCAGATGTTGTCCCTTGGCTCCGCTTGCTTTGGTGCCTCTTTTCCCAAGTCTCTTTTTCTGCTTGTCCCCTTGCACGCCCGCTCTGGAGTTAASAGGTGGGATCTCTCTGTAGGAGGAGGCAGCACCCAAACACTGGTGAGGATGAGTGGGGGCAAGCCTTCGCACGGTGCACAACTTGGCGTCATTCCTGAATTCCCTCCTTGGAAAAAGTAGGAAATGGCAGGGAAAGGATTCCCAGGGAGCAGAGGAACTCAAACACAGGAGGAAGAACCTCAAAACACGTTAGGGTTTAATGGTCACAAAGGTTTTGCTGCCCATGTGCCCACTGTTGGCTAGGGACTTCAAGGCCTTCTCATGCTTGGTGCCTTCCTAACTGGGCCTGCAAACGGGCCACGTGCAAGAGGCAGCAGCAGCTCCTCTCTGCAGAACTTCCCTGTGCAGATTTTATTAAATTTCCTAATATTTYTTTGCACAAGCCTTCGTAAGATGGTGCTATACCAAGTGTGCAGCTCTATCTTCTGTTGAGTGTATTATTTATTCATAGGGATGCAGCCTGCAGGATTCAACCTGTCCTTGGAATGACCCTTTACACTTGCACAAGCGCTAGGTTTCCTTTCCCTCTTTCTTTACAGGACCTCATAGGCCTTCCTATATATTCTCACCTATCTCACCCTATAAAAGCTATAGGAATATTAGGGATATCTTTTATATATTATATATATATTTTTTTTTCTCTCCCTGTTTTTTAGCCCCTTTCTTGATCTATGCATGGAGTGAGAGAAGCAGAGGAAACTCCAAGAGGAAAAGATGCAGGAAATTATGCAGGAAAACTTATTCCTAAGAGCCTCTTGGATAGAATAGCAACCTATGGAGTCCGGGGGGGCCAAGGGCACATCTCTGAACACCCGCCAGCTGAGTAGCTGCTGAGAAACAGCTCTTAATGCCGCACGTTTTGGCAGCAAAAGGGCCGGTTTTGGTTGAGAACAAGGGGCAGCGGGGCCCGGGTCGGGGGCCGGTTGCTGCCCCCCGCTCCCGTTTGCGGGCAGCTCCCCGCCCGGCCGGGGCGCTCGCTCGCTCGCTCGGGGCGGCCCCGCTCTCGGGCGCAGCCCCC